AGTTGGTTAGAGCTCGACAACTGTCTTCTGTAGCTCAGTTGGTTAGAGCTCGACAACTGTCTTCTGTAGCTCAGTTGGTTAGAGCTCGACAACTGTCTCTCTGTAGCTCAGTTGGTTAGAGCTCGACAACTGTCTCTCTGCAGCTCAGTTGGTTAGAGCTCGACAACTGTCTCTCTGTAGCTCAGTTGGTTAGAGCTCGACAACTGTCTCTCTGTAGCTCAGTTGGTTAGAGCTCGACAACTGTCTCTCTCTAGCTCAGTTGGTTAGAGCTCAACAACTGTCTTTCTGTAGCTCAGTTGGTTAGAGCTTGACAACTGTCTCTCTGTAGATCAGTTGGTTAGGGCTCGACAACTGTCTCTCTCTAGCTCAGTTGGTTAGAGCTCAACAACTGTCTCTCTCTAGCTCAGTTGGTTAGAGCTCGACAACTGTGTCTCTCTAGCTCAGTTGGTTAGAGCTCGACAACTGTCTCTCTGTAGCTCAGTTGGTTGGAGCTCGACAACTGTCTCTCTGTAGCTCAGTTGGTTAGAGCTCGACAGCTGTCTCTCTGTAGCTCAGTTGGTTAGAGCTCGACAACTGTCTCTCTGTGGCTCAGTTGGTTAGAGCTCGACAGTTGTCTCTCTGTAGCTCAGTTGGTTAGAGCTCGACAACTGTCACTCTGTAGCTCAGTTGGTTAGAGCTCGACAACTGTCACTCTGTAGCTCAGTTGGTTAGAGCTCGACAACTGTCTCTCTGTAGCTCAGTTGGTTAGAGCTCGACAACTGTCTCTCTGTAGCTCAGTTGGTTAGAGCTCGACAACTGTCTCTCTGTAACTCAGTTGGTTAGAGCTCGACAACTGTCTCTCTGTAGCTCAGTTGGTTAGAGCTCGACAACTGTCTCTCTGTAGCTCAGTTGGTTAGAGCTTGACAACTGTCTCTCTGTAGCTCAGTTGGTTAGAGCTCGACAACTGGCCTCTGTAGCTCAGTTGGTTAGAGCACTGCACCGGAATTGCAGGGCCGCATGCAGGTTCGATTGAATCACAGATTGAATCGATTCCTGTCAGAGACTCTATAGTTGTATTTTTCACAACTACTTCTGGTAGGTCTAATAAATGTATAAAATTCAAACTCGAAATTTCAATCTATTAAACTCATCTGCTAAAAAAAGTGTGTATTATTCAATGACAATGTGTGTACCCTTGATTTGCGAGAGGATTGATTAATAATAGAGAATACGTGACCTATTACTCCTTGGGCCAAAGCCCGTTCCTAGGTTGATTTGGAAGAGGTTCTGTGTGCAATTGGTAAGACCAGTCAGTACACATAGGCTAGCGGTGATCACATTTTAAACTAAATTCGTTGAGATTACATCTTAGAATTTCATGCAACGCTGACGAGTGCAGTCACAAACCATCCTTGTATGCAATGTCAACAAGTCCAAAGTTCTAACGATATATAAACGTACACATTAAACATATCAGTTCAGATTTCGCGGACTGCTTTCAAGTTGTGTCAGCAAGCCATGAATGCACAGCCCAAAACATTGCACACATCACCAAAAATTTTGCAACACCTTGCAGCCTCCAGCTAAATTTCATTATGTGAATTCGAAATTGGAAGTTAGAAATATAAGCACACTTCAAATATTTTAAATGCTAACTGTTTATCACAAAATTCACGTTACATACTTCGCAGTATTTTGTAATCTCACCCTCCGAAATATAGAATGGTATAAAATAGTGGGACGCACCGCTTCGAAAATTATTGAGAATATAGAGAGGTTTTTACAAGAAAGCTGGGAAAACAGCCAACTATTTCGATAGATCAAGACTTTGAACCCGGCCTCTTAACCCAGTCAATTAAGATTCGTAAATACTCAGTAAATATTCAGTCTAACATAAATTGAATATGAAACTTACCAGCTTGCAACTAGCAATTGGTCATACGGTCGATGTGGATGTAGCCAGTGTGTGGTTCGATTTTTTGCGAAATCTTACTGCACCAGCATATAACAATCAAGCTGTATGTATTGTGCGTGGATTTGCATAAAGTATTTGCATGGGTATGATAATTAGTATTGCATGAGTAGTTCTGTGATTCTATCCAGGGAAAAATAATTTAGAATGATTGAAAGCGTATCTTGTGAAGACAACCTGCGTTGCTGTTCGTTTTAGAAGTATTTTAAATTCCCAGAGGTATAACAACGCACATTTAACAACAAAACTGTCAAAAGAGTGATTTCTATAGGGGGACTTTTTGGGGGACACCCTGTGTAACATGTTACATGCAGTAATTTCGATGTACATCTTTGGAGGTATCTCAGTAGATTTCCTTTCCAACGAGGAGTGTGACGTGTTTAATTTACCTGTCACTGGGGACACTGCATTCGTCCGTAGTCTCTGTAGGTCTGTTTCACGAAGTATACTATGAGAGAAACTTGTCAACCGGAAATTAACAACAAAGGTTCTTGTCAACTGGGAGTAATCAGAGTAAGAAAGTAATGTCAGTTCTTGTCATAATATGTAGTTGTCTTGTTAAACAAAATTGAGAAGTGCACCTTTCTTGCTATTCAGTATAAAGTGTGGATATTTGTGAAATTAGTCCGCGCGGTAACACTTCCCGAAACCATCAATATATACAGTATACATTTTTTTTCGGTCATACTTCTTCAGTTGAAGCATGTTCCCCTGAAATACGTCAAAAAACCCTCAGGGGCGCAATGAAGGTGCGTATTCAGGCATAGTAACGTGGGAAGCAAAATCTGTGAGGTGTATCTCGTGAAAATGTCAAGTTGAATCGGAGGATGCATAATTATACAATCTGAAGAACTGTTAATATAGCAGTTTATAGAGTGAGAAAATGATCATTCTTTTCTTGAGAACGCACAAGTTGTAACAAACCTGCAGCAGACTTGTAGCAACAATGTTTCAACAACTTGTCAACAGGATGTGTTCGCACTGCTTGTTTCCAGCTTGTTGACAACTTGCTACAAGGTTGTTGACACAACTTTCTACAAAATTGTTGAGCTCAACAGACTTGTTACAAGTTTATCCAACAACTTGTTATAGTCCTGCAATTCAACAATTTGTCAACAAGTTGTGAGGCCTGTTTCAAACGTCACACTTCTTTAAACTTTAATCAATTTCCAAAAATTACAAATTGCATATAATTATAATGTAATTTGAGGTGAGCTTAAAACAGAATTCAAGATTCCCTATCATGACCGAACGCATTAGAAACAATAGATAATGAGGCATTTCAGCTGATTATATATTGTTTTTAATGCGTTTGGCACATGAGAATTGAGAAACGTGACGTTTGAAACGGGCCTGAGTGATAATCTTGTAGCAAAATAACAGCATTCTTACAACTTGTTGACAAGCTTGCTACAAGCCTGTTGCGAACACATCTTGTTGACAAGCTTGCTACAAGATTGTTGCGAACACATCTTGTTGACAAGTTGTGAGATTTTTACGTGTGTAAAAATGGGCCTCCGCAATACCCAAAGAGACGTTCAAAACGACTTTTGTAAACTTTGTATACCAGAAATTAACAAAATCTAAATATACTAGATACTCATAATGTCAATGTAAATATACCGTATCCAGAATTTAAAACCCTTTAGATACCATATACCCCAAACCCCCCTGGCCAATCCCCAAAACGTTGGTACAAGTATCCGTTCTGTCTGGCGAATCTTGTAAAATGAAAATAAAATAATTTAAACAGTGTTGGACAAGAATAGTAATACTGGATATTAAGATCTTACCAAATGAGAAACAATGTGAAAGTCTTTCCATTGAACTGCGGTTTCTAAGTATAAATATTTTCAAAGCATGACTGAAAACTGTGCCCTCGTTCGTGGCCTCGTTCGTGGTTGTTTATAAACTAAATCGCATTGAGAACTAAATACTAAAGAGGAAGACTTTAAATATATAGTGACTTCTTCCTTCAGACGTATGGAGGCGTATAACCGTTGACGTACGTGGGGAGATTACTTGAAATAATTTTAGCTACGTGTATTTTTAACAAGCAATCTATTTTAATAAAATTGGCACTCCCTTGCCCTTAAATAAAGAATCTTTGTTCTCGTGAAATATTCAATTTCCTGTCCAAGTGATATAGCTTCTTCGTATCATAAATATCAGTCATTTACTTATCGTACAATGTTTGAAAAAATACAAATATTCAACGTGGGGGGGGGGGGGGGCGGGACACGTTTACGATGTGGTACTAGTCTGCGTGGCGCTTTTCTCGTCTAGCTCATTAGCATAAATTGCAAGCTCAATCCAGATTTACTTTTGAGTTCAGTAACTACATGCGCCTACAGTTTTCGTTTCATTACTTCGTGTAAGACGAAGTGAGGTAAACGATAGAAAATTTTTAAAATTTTAAAAAGTAAGTGTATAAAAGATACAAATCTTTGTTAAATATTTTTATATTTTGTTAATGGATGTACAAACTTTGTGCCGTATTAAATATTTGAACTCAGGCATTCACTACGATTTATAATAACCAGATTTCGGTTGGTGCCAAAATGTATTTCTAAATTAATTTAAATTAATAGTAAATTACTTTTTAATGTTTTTATAGTTTCAACTTTGATCTGGCTACGAGGATGCCTTATGTTTTAATTTCTACATTAATCAGACTGGTATGTGATATTTTACAGCTGTAAAAAATATAAATATATCAATAATATGGATTACTTGCGAAGTTTGTGTCGACTGAACGTTTACAGAATTCCTTAATAAGGCTGATATAAAGATTTACACTAGACAACTTTTGTCTAAAACTGTCGCATGCAACCTGCTTACAACTTGAGTTGTACTGTGTAAATCAAGCACACAGCTCATCTATATTGTCATGGGTGAGTTGTGTCCAGACTGGAAAGTTTGTACTGCGTTAAAGATATCTCCCTTGCGCGTACTTCAGACCCTTGGCTGTCTGCATATGAACACTTTTACAAAACTGGTGTGCATATGCACAGCAATTCAGCATAAAATGCAAATGCAGCACGTTTTGGGGAAAACGTTGACTATTTGTGTGAAAAAGATTTCACAGTGACTGCAGATACCGTGTTTAACGTTGCTCCACTGGTGAAAATTGAATTAATAAATATTTTTGGCATGTAAATAGTCTAAATATAATGAAATAAACAATTAAACATCTCTCCGAACCACCATCTTGGATTCCCGTCATTCTACCTGTGATCAGGTGTACACTGAGAGCATTACGTCATCTCATTTCAAAAAACATTTTGGTCTTTTTTGTGCGCGAACCTAGACTGAAAATTGTTTGTCTGCACAATTTTCAAAATTTATATGCGCATATTTTCGGCGAGCGATTTGTCTCCTTTGCACATTTTGCAAACTTTCCAGTCTGAAGTAATTGTGTGCTTGATTTACACAGTACAGTACAACTCAAGTTGTAATCACGATGAAGTGTGAGTTACTTTAATGATGTGCTCTTTTTTCAGGAATGCGGACCAACCATCGTTGGTGACGAATGGTCGGATCCAGAGTTGATGGAATTTTTGGGTGCGAAACTTATTAATGACTTTGGAAATAACTTGTATGTGAAGTTTCATTATGAATAAGTAATTGACTTCTTTTTGTGAAAGTGAAACTATAACCACATCATGTTGTGTTGTATTGTTGTTGTACATTAAGTTCTTTCTACTGTACGTTTGCATGGCGATAAAACATATAATAGTTTTGTTTGTGGAAACACCACATAAATTTAAATTTATGTGGTGTTTCCACAAACAAAACTATTATATGTTGTTGTATTGTTGTTGCAATATTGTTGCATTGTTGTTACAATGTTGTTGCTTTGTTGTATTGTTGTCAAGTTGTATTATCTTTGTTGTTATTCTTGTTCTTGTTTAGTTGTAATGTTGTTGCATTGTTGTTTCTTTGTTGTATTGTTGTCGGCTTGTCGCTTTGTTGTATATTGCCGTTGCACTGTATTGTCTTTGTTGTTATTCTTGTTCTTATTTAATTGTATTATTAATTGCAACATATTGTTGCTGCATTGTTTTAATCTTGTGGCGTTGTGTCATTTTCCGTTGACAACTTCACATGATGTTTCTTACCCTCAGCAAAGAATATCGATCACCAGACCCTCCAAGGAAGATTTTGAACAAGCTAGAAGGGCGTGGATACCACGTGATCGGCATGACGGGTATTGGACAGACCTGCATATGGACATGTTATAAACAAAGTGATGACAATAATCAAGTGGAAAATAATGGTGCACGTTAACTGTTTTGTAATAAACAACAAAATGTCCTAATTGAGATACCGTAAAGCTCCGACTATAAGCCAGTGGGCTTATATTCTTTCGTAAGCAATTTTTGATGGGCTTATACAAGGTTATACATGGACAATCTTTTGTGCTAGTGCCAATATTGATAAACAAGTATAGTAATAGTGACAAACAAGTGTTAATTAAGCATAGTGAATAATAGTGATAAACAAGTGGGCTTATATTCGTTTTGGGGGGGGGGGCTTATATTTGGAATGAGGTGAGCGTTAGTACATGTGGTGGGCTTATACACGGGGGGCTTATATTCGGAGGTTTACGGTACTAGGTTTACAGCTGACATTAGGTAACATTTACAAAGTCATACAGTTATATAAGTGAACATAGAAGATCTGTTTATGTTATCAGTAGCAGGAATCAAGGACTCTAATGGCCTTGACCTCGCCCAGGCATAACAAACAAACACTCTGTTTATATGGAATCGAGTTACTCGGCATTTACTGCGTGATTACCGCATGACGCCGAAATGGCGCCAAAACAGAAAGGATTTAAAGTCATTTGAAACGTTAAAAAACATTCCAAAATGTCGTGAAAATACAAGAATAAGCGCCAAGATATTTTGCAATACTTATCTAATGATTCGTTTGTATTTTTGAGCCATCATATTTCAAATGCAAAGCACATTCATTCTATCTCGGGCAGCAAAGTTATCCGAGCAAAGTGTTTACATGGTAAAATATTCATCTCGCCCAGGCGATATCCCGCCTCTTTCTGCTGGGAACTCGGCAAGGCGAGTTACTCGGCTGCATCATGTAAACAGTCACCCGGGATTACTGCAAGTTTCTATAATAGCCGGGATCTCGTCGTTGCTGAGTAACTCGCCTCCATATAAACAGGCCCTAATCACGGGAACGAGGCTGTATGACCACGGCCGTTTAGTTTCAGAAGGGTGTATAGAATTAAGATGACGAAGCTCTAGGAAGATGTTCTGTGATTGGTTGATAATGACAAAAGAATAAACTACAGAATGAATTTTCTAAAGAACGAAGCAAGAACAATATTCATTTCGAGTTTTGTTTATGTAAGCCAATTACGTCTTTTGTCATTGTCATAATCAGCCAGTCACAGAACATCTTCCGGCCTGGAGCTTCGTGTTTACTGGAATTTTTTATCTAATTTTTTGTTGCAGAGTAACAGTTTCATTTGTTTTTCTTCACCTTGTAATAGTAATCTGGTAATTGATATCGGTATCTTACAGTAGGTGAATCAATAACTTTCTGTCCTATGCAATATTGCACCAATCTCCCTTTTGGTAGGCAATTTCCTGACATTGTTTCCCCAAAGACAAGGTGGTGGTAATTCATTCAGCGCGCTTGCTAACACTGACCTTTCTAGCTAGCTTGCATCTTCATTCGCGAGTTCCTCACAGAGTCTTTTTCTTTCTTCAGCCTGACGTAGTTTTCTCATCACTAAGCTTTCAAAGTCTCTCCCAGATACTAAATTATCTTCACTCGTAGATGTCACCTTAAAACAAGGAATATCAACATTTAGTGGTGTCTAGCACCGCCTAGAGAAGTCCAGCACCATCCTAAAACAATCTGCTTGACCATACGTTTTCTGCTTTTCGAATAGCGATTAGCGGAACTTCTACTGTTAGCGCGTGTCGATTTTTTGAAACGATTTAATTCATTTGTGAGCTCACGAGAAAATACTCAGAATGCTTTAGTCTAATATCATGGTTAAATATGCAAACATGTTGAGGTTGTTATATACAGCCATATTTTCAAATATACTGTACTTTAACAAGCAAATTTACTGTACTGTGCTACAGCAACTGTCCAGTCACGCATACGTGATAAAAAGCCGATATAAACTTCATAAACAAACGATACTGTAAAACGTAACAGAATGGCGAACATGCAGATTCGGCTATCTCAAATAATGGTAATGTTGGGATAGTAGCGTTGCAGATTGCAGAGGAGAGTGGGCAGTAAGGCTCCCTCATGCACCACCCCATGCGGAAAACCTGTACCCCTCCTTGCAGATGAGGCTAGATCCACCCCTGAACCATTGTCAGTTTTGATCATGCTTTTCTAGTTTGGCACATGCTCGGGAAATAACGGCTTGAATCCCATAAGAATACACTCCATACATACATACATTTATGGGTGCATCAACCTTAGCTGATGAACTGTCATGTCGCTCATCATGGGTCACTTTAGGGACAGCTCCTTCAAGCCACGTTATTCTCAAAGGGTTGGCGGGATTCCCTCTCTCATTCTCAATTGCCATTTCCTGAAGGAAAGAAAAGATTGAGATATAAAAAATCAGTATTCTCTGACTTCTAGATGATTAAAGAACGTTTTGTTGTACTCACGGCAGATTTAAAATCTTTAAATTCAATGATAGCACTTCCAGCCTTCTTTGATGATACCAAGAGATTCTCAATTTCACCATACTGCAACAAAAATTAAAGTTTGTTCATTTGTCAGTAGGGATGTACATGCACTAAGAAGAAGATTGGAAGAAGTTAATAAATTAATAATGCATATTATACAGTATAACATGAAATATATTCAATTTATCAACCTTTCTAAACATCGATTGAAGTAGCTCTGACGAGTATCCTCCATTTGTGTTATCATTTTTTTGACATTTCCATCGAATCTAGGGTAAAGAATAAACCAATCACGCTTACGAATCAGTGTAGATTTCAGTGTAGATATCAGCCAAACCACAGGTTAAAAACTCGGTACTTTTTCTCTTTCTATCTACGAAGAACAGTTTAGATCTGATGGAGCTATCCAGTATAAATAAATTTAGTTTAGGTTTCCTTCTGTAGTAACACTGGATCAATAAGAGATGACCCTTACTGGACCTCTAGGAAGAACAGTTTAGAACTGATAGAGCTATCCAGTATAAATAAATTTAGTTTAGTTTAGGTTTCCTCCTGTAGCAACACTGGATCAATAAGAGATGATCCTTACTGGACCTCTAGGAAGAACAGTTTAGAACTCAGTCTGATAGAGCTATCCAGTATAAATAAAGTTAGTTTAGTTTAGGTTTCCTCCTGTAGCAACACTGGACCAATAAGAGATGATCCTTACTGGATCTCTAGGAAGAACAGTTTAGAACTGATAGAGCTATCCAGTATAAATAAAGTTAGTTTAGTTTAGGTTTCCTCCTGTAGTAACACTGGATCAATAAGAAATGATCCTTACTGGACCTCTAGGAAGAACATATAGAATTGATAGAGTCATCCAGTATAAATAAAGTTAGTTTAGTTTAGGTTTCCTCCTGTAGCAACACTGGATCAATAAGAGATGATCCTTACTGGACCTCTAGGAAGAACAGTTTAAAACTGGTAGCTATATATAAAACTACACTGTAGTTGTTTAACCCAATGTGTGGTTGACCTAGTGAGTATCATTTCAGAAGTTTATACAAACTCTCATCACCTTCAGTTTTGGTGTGAAATTAAAATCTTCTTCCGTCCCAACAGAGGCTTCTGTTCTTTTTCTTTCTTCTTCAATTTGTTGTTTTATCAACTCTTGTTCTCGTTGTAATATTTTTAGTCCTTCTTCTCTTAGACGTTCAATCTAGATCAATAGAAGCTCTCATCAAACACCAATAAACTGAAATGGAATAAACCCTTTGTCGTTTTGAACTACCGTCACTTTGTCTGGGCAGATGAGCGAACATGTTCAACATGCGCACGTTACACGTCTACAGACCCATTGCACATGACGTCACAGCGCCGGTGACGATGCATCTGGAGGACAAACTAGCAATCTATGTATAATATAACTTTTGTAAACAAAGCAAATTTTGTAAAAATTCATAATAATTTTGTATTAAAGTGGTTAATTTTTGCGCTGTATGTGGTTGTTGTACCCGAACAGATATTGTTAGGGAGCATCTGGAGGACACTCTAAGGATTTGTGACGTCAGTGCAATGGGTCTATAGCTTGTGTGTTCACGGAGACGCTGTGAAAGTTCAACTATACTCAATTTTCTTGGCGTATACGCGCGACCGTTTACGATTACAATTAGCCTTTCTATAGTGCAAATTTGCATGTGGGTACGATCAATGCGCTTTACATCATCAGCATCATACGCTTACCTAATTACATACTTAGTCCAGACTACAGCAATTTTCGTCCAAGCACAAACCGCAAACATTTTCGCGCGTTTGTTTACGTTTGAAACGTGGCGTTTACCGTTGGAAACGGACATGTTTCACTGCTCATGTGACGTGTTATTGTGAAAAGCCTAATTCAGTTATTTTTCATGTTTTGATGTGCTTTCGTGTACTTTTCATTGTTTCCAAGCTCACGATATTGCAAGAGCGACCAAACTTGTTTATATTCATACTTTTTGTGACTAGAACGTATTATCATGGGCTGGAAAATATTGAAACGTGCACGGAGGCACATCAAAACATGACAGTTGCGCCAAAAATAGCTTAAGGCTTTTCAATGTCACATGAACAGTGAAACATTTCTGTTTCCGACGGTAGACGCCCCGTTTCAAACGTAAACAAACGCGCGAAAATGTTTGCGGTTTGTGCTTGGACGAAAATTGCTGTATTTTATCTTTACAACAATTGTGATATTACTGTCTTAACTGTGCGAAACCGGAGCACGCGGAGAAAACCCATGACTTTCGGCAGAGCGTTGACTGACTCTTTTCACACGAGTCCGTAGCGAGAACCGAAGCCACAATCTGCGGCATCGAAGTTCATGGCTATTTTTTTACATGTTTAATCATGTAACTTGAAGAGGTCACTTATCCCCAATGCTTGTCTTGCGCAGGTGTGCCAATTCACGTGACTGCAAACTATACTACATCTTAACCCAAGAATTCGAAGTTTTGTTTGCAACACAAAGTCTCATCTTACTTCTTGTTCCAAATTTTTCACAAGCACTTCGTCCTTGACGTAGTCATCTTGACTCGACTTTTCCCTGTCTTCCAAATCTGAAATTTTAACGGGAACATGAAAATGTGATCCAAGTACTTATGTCTTATAAACTTGCCACAAGTCTGTCTCAGAATTCCCCCTAGCTTTATTGGGCGAGTGAAAGGAACCGCGCGAAATAAATATTACGTCTTTGAAAAAGACTTCTCGAAAATCTACCTTAAAAGGTGTAAAATCTACCTTTCTTAAGGTTCAAAAACAACACAAACCTTCTTTAAATTTCTTTCTCTTGCTGTCGAAAGCTTGAACGCGTAATCGAGCTCTTTCTTTTGCTTTCAATGTTGCATCGTAAGCTGCCTGTTGGGACAATCATCATTATTTTTCATTTTAGTCTGCATAACAAAAATCAGTCTTGAACAACAGTCAGTACCTTTGCTTTTGGATTTCCAATAACTTCAAAAGCTTTGCTCAGTTTGTGAAACAACTCCGCTGAAAAAGTAGATTCAGTAATAAGTAAAAAAATGAACAAATGTTGAGTGTTATTGAAAAAATATGAAAAGTCTAGACAAAATAAGGACATATTTAATCTTTATTTCAAAAGTACTGTAGAGGGTACCAAATTTCGTGTTCTTTGCAAAAAAATAGGTACGCATTGCGTACATGCATCTGATGTTTTGGTATTTTTCTTTCCAAAATGCATGCACATAGTAACAATCTTTTAAAATATCCATCCATATACCAGAGGTATGTCTGCAAAAACATACATTTTATCATAACCAGCTAATCACTGACAACATACACCATTAAAAACATGCAATCAAAAATTTGCATTACTGAGGTAAGCTATAAAGTAGCCCAATTTTGTATTCACTTCTAGTGAATGCTTGTTTCTACTTTTTGGTAGTTTACATGGAAATACTAAGCATGAATAACCCGTGATTGGCTGTCATAACAATGACTACAGTACATAACACCAAGATCACCACGAATAACATAAAACAATATTTACACATTATTGAAGCTATAAAAAACAACTAAAACGTTACGACGGCCATTTCAAGTAAACTACCTGCATTAGGATTATCAGGATTTTTATCAGGATGGCATTTCAATGCTTTCTTTCTATACGCTTTAGTGATCTAAAAAACAAAACTAATTCTTTAGTTTAATTCCTAAAAACATCAAAACTAACACCTTTAAACAACAACAACCGAGCATGGAAGTAAAAGTAACAAAAGTAGATTATATTATTTATAAAATACATAAAAATAAGCTTAAAAAAACCTCCTTTTCTGAAGCGTTTCTATCCACTCCTAAAAGTTCATAATATGTCTTTCCGTCGGCCATCTTGTTTTTTACCATATATGGCAACCGCAAGAGCCATGTTATTTAGATTACATGAAGTTCTCAACGAAAAACATCAAAATATTCAAATAATATTTTGTTGTGTTTGTTTTCTTGAATATTTTGTGAAAATGACGATGGATCCATTGTTTTTAGCACTTAGTTTGTTTCGGAGGAGAAAGTTTGAAGAATGTTCGGAGATATGCACGCAATTGTTAAAGAAAAACCCTTACGATCAAGTGAGAAATATTAAAATATAATTTGAGTTGTCAAGTGTCAACACGATCTGTTGCTATAGCTAGCAAACCTTTTGCTTTGCTTACATTTTCCTGGCAGAACAAAATACTTAGCAGCCAAGCGACGTTTCTTGGTGTGATGGGTATTTACCATATTACCATCACACATTACAAGAATTTACTTGCCAGCAAAATGTAAACAAGCCCATAGTCTTTTATATGTGATTAAAATACTCATTTAATAATTCATAAACCTTGTGGCAAATCATGTCAGCCACAATATGTCACGTGGAGTGACTTTATATCTGATAAAGCATGAGGTATTATTATATAATTGTTCATCCTAATTAGTATGATTATATAATGGTTTATCCTAATTAGTATTCTTTTGTAGTCGTATTTTAAGCCATTTAAAGCACTTGTAGTCGTGTTTTAATCAGGTATAAAACGCTCGGCAATTTATATTTGATAAAACACTCCTACACGTGCTTTAAATAGTACTTCATATAATGATATAATAATACACCCTTCCAGAAAGCAAGTCGATACAGCTCTACAATTCTACACTTTGGCTATAGTCTATAGAGCCTTGTTTTTGTGTATGGAACATCAGTTAAAGCTTAATGTCTCAATCATCGAAACAAAACGCTATACCCACAATGATGTACTTTTCGGAAAGGTGTATTATGTTTGCCAAAACATATAAGAAGACAGAAATTCTGCCTATAGATTTCACGTTGGGAAAACTACTCGACAGCAACGTTGTTGATAAGATCATTTGCATTTCCCTCCATTGTCAGCCATTTTGACTGCAGTTACATGAAGAAACTATGGATTCTTATTGGCTAGTTATTCAAGCAGCTCAGCACTAAGCTCGCAACATCTGCAGATGTTGAGATTTTTCCTCGCGAGGTGAAAATATCAAACACGATAGATACTTTCCTCAAGGCCTCGAGAGGTTATTAAATCCTCATGAAAACTATCTGCACACAAGAGAAACATGCTGAGCTAGTCGCCACACAAGGCTAGATAAAATATCTCTACATTACCCAAGCCGACCATTCACATCTAGTATAAATTTATAAATTGTGTTATTTACATATTACTCAATTTATTTCTGTCTTCAGGCAGCATGGTGTTTGAAGACACGTGCATTAACTGAACAAGTTTATGTTGACGAGATCGAAGTTGATGAAGAAGGGATTGCGGAGGTTTTGATGGACGATAATTCAATGGCACAGTTACCTAGTTAGTTCACACTTCATGTTTCACAACACCATTGAAATATTTCATAGGTCTTTGTTTTTATATTTCAACGTTTTTTCATGTGAGAAGACGTACATAGCTGGGGGGGGGGGGCAAGGGGGGAAACTGCCCCTCCCAGAGAAAACTATATTTACGATTTTTAGAATGTCATTATTAATTATACTTTGGATATTTGGGACTTTTTTCGGCATATAGGCCTTACTGCCTCCCCTGGTAAAAAAATTCTGCGTACGGCCCTGTACAACCTAGGCACATGTGACATCATTGAAGTCAGTTAACCTGCAAATTAAGTGCTGCCTGCCAAATAAAGTCCCTACTGTAGGTCTAAGCTGATCTTGTCTCAAACTCCAAGGAATATTTTTTCATGCTGTACTACAGACACTCGTGCCACAGAATAAGGACACACAGAAGGTTGACTCAGCCAAATACAGTAACCACTGCCACGCCATGATTCGTCATCAAAATGCTGACGTCATGGCCTTAGCCAGTGTGCTTATGCTCTATATTTTCAGGGAATTTGTTTTACTTACTTCTCTATTTCACCCTACTGGGCCTCACACTTACTTTTCTTTAACAATTAGGACCAGGAACCTCCTTAAAGAAACCAGGGACTGGTATTGGTGCACCAACGCCTGGCGTCAGGTATCAACAAAATTATGTTGACAACTACAGTCAGTGGAAACTTTGGTTTAGCAAAGCTTGGAAACTTATAGAAATAAAAAAATAGCACTTGTAGAATCAAAATAGCTTGCATAAATAGAATAGGACGTGAAGTAGAAACAGAAAAGGTGTCTACTTTTGCAGTGAAATAGAAAAGGAACCCACAAAAAGAGAAAAATAAGTAGCATGTATTATCAAGAGCCCCAGTATTACAACTTATCAACAAGATGCATGTGTTGGCACTGCTTGTTTCCAGTTATTGACAAGTCTGGAACAAGTTGTTATCATCTTGTAACAAGGTTGATGAGACCAACAGACTCGCAACAAGTTGTTCCAACAAGTCTGATATCGTTTAAACAAGTTGACGACAACAAGCTCGTAGCAACTTGTTACGAACAGCTTGTATTAGTCTTGTTGGAACAACTTGTAGCAAGTCTGTTACCGTCATCAACCTTGTAACAAGATGATGATAATGGCCTCGTAATATATTTGCTAGGCCTATGTCACAATCAGGTCGCCCTCTCAGTGGCTTTGTGCGACCGGGCACGCAAAGTGCTCGTCCAGGGACAATGGAACAGGCACTTCGTTCATCAAGAACAGCTGGTACAGCGAGGTAAGACAGAGAACATCTTAGGCAACGTTTACAGTACACTTTCCGTTGCGACGTGAAAAAAAAACACGTATCCGTACCTTTTAGGAATGTTATTTTCACAGCAATTATTGCAACGGAGAGATGTTGTTTCGCTCAAAAATGCATGAATGAAATCGAGCCGGCTTTATTTCAAATCACTTTTCAATGCGCGGATCCCAAGTTCTTTACAAACTTGCCAATTTACAATTACGTTTCCAAGTTCGAAAATTGGGCGCGAACTTCGCAACAAAGTTCACAAGTACATTTCAATGTTTGAAGTATTGTAAACAAATGTTCATAATTGAAGTTCAAATTAACAATTCAATGGAAAGTTCTTGGTTCAATGGTCTACCAAGAAGGTTTGTATTTCATTGAATTGGTTATTATTATTGAGTATGAACATTTGTTTACAAACGAAGCTCAAACATTGAAATGTACTTGCGAACTTTGTTGCGAACTTTGCGCCCAATTTTCAAACTTGGAAACGTAATTAAATTGGCAAGTTTGCAACGAACTTGGGACCCGCGCGTTCAAAAGTGACTTGAAATCTACAATAAATCTTTGTTTTACTTGAAATGCAGACCCGTGACAAGTGCCTCTGGTCGCTTTGTTCGTTTGGGAACGGTGAGTCGACGTTGGAATATGCACAAGCGTAGTTTATTGTTATTTGTGAAGTGTATTGCATTTGGAAACATGAGTGTCACTTTATGTTTTAGGCATCGATGCTGTCTCAGCCAGATGGACCTTTTATTAATGTACCAAAATTAAACTTAGTAAAATACGCACAACGACAGAATCTCGCTAAGGTAAAAAACGTCCACCAATGTACCAATGACCAAGACAGTTTGCTAAATGCTAATGATACTTCCTTTTCACTTTTAGTCCCTTTTTGAGTACATATTTCATCAGGAAAACGATGTTCGCAACGTAAGATTTCTTTATTTTATACTTCATTTCATGTACACATATAAAAACGCAAAAGTTGTAACAAATCTGCAGCAGACTTGTAGCAATGCTGTTCCAACAACTTGTCAACAGGATGTGTTCGCACTGCTTGTACCCAGCTTGTTGACAACTGGCTACAAGGTAGTTGAGCTCAACAGACTTGTTACAAATTGTTCCAACAACTTGTTGTCGTCCTGCAATTCAACAATTTGTCAACAAGTTGTGAGTGACAACCTTGTAGCAACTTGATAAAATAACAGCATTGTTACAACTTGTTAACAAGCTTACTACAAGCCTGTTGCGAACACATCTTGTTGACAAGTTGTGAGTGTTTTACGTTTTGGTACGCGAGTGTAAAAGTATATCGATTTCGAAGATCGAGATTGATATTTTACCAATGTTAACTTTCCAATTTAAGGCATTAGAGTTGGCAGCTCGGGCGACAGAAGCTTGCAACTTTAAAGATTGGTGGTGGAAAGTACAGTTAGCCAAGTGTTACTACAGACTGGGCATGTTTCGTGATTCCGAGAAACAATTAAAATCTTCATTACGAGATCAAGAAATGGTCGACACATATTTATATCTTGCTAAAGTTTATGTTCGCTTAGATCAACCTCTTACTGCTATCGAGATCTTGAAAAAGGTAAGGTGTTCTTACAAGAGATTCAGTTATCTCTTATCGGTGAAGTGTTACAGACTACAGGAGGAAACCTAAACTAAACTAACTTTATTTATACTGGATAGCTCTATCAGTTCTAAACTGTTCTTCTTAGAGAACCAGTAAGGATCATTTCGTATTGACCCAGTGTTACTATAGGAAGAAACCTAAACTAAACTAACTTTTTTAACTAACTTTTTGGATAGCTCTATCGGTTCAGTTATAAACTGTTCTTCCTAGAGGTCCAGTAACGGCCATCTTTTATTAGTCAAGGTGATATTATTACGAGAGCTTTGTTAGTTGTGATAACATTATTTTTACTGTGGTTCAGGGAATTGAAAAGTTCACAGGAGAAACTGCCCTGCTCACAGGAATAGCAAGAATTCACGAGGTAAACTATACAGACTGAAGTACATAGACTGGTACAAAGTCTTCTAGTAACGGACACACAGTTCAATTCACATCATTGAGGATAACTCACATGCCTATGTATAGTCACCTCTGTTGTGATAATGTAAGCATAAAATGAAACAAAGGTGACCTGATAAACAGCATAAACATGCAGACAGTTAGAATAGTTATAAAGACAGCAGTAATGTACAAAGTTCATCGTCTCTCTTGTATTTCCAAGGCTTTGAACAATATGTCAGACGCAGTGCAAGTATATAAAGATGTTCTACATTATGACAATACTCATGTCGAATCCATCGCCTGTATTGCTACACAACATTTCTACACTGACCAACCCGAGGTTGCTCTCAGATATTTCAGGTATAGAATTATGCTGGATAGCTCGATTACTTCTTCTAAACTGTTCTTTCCAGAGGTCCAGTAAGGATCATCTCTTATTGATCCAGTGTTACTACAGGAGGAAACCTAAACTAAACTAACTTTATTTATACTGGATAGCTCTATCAGTTCTAAACTGTTCTTCCTAGAGGTCCAGTAAGGATCATCTCTTATTGATCCAGTGTTACTACAGGAGGAAACCTAAACTAAACTAACTTTATTTATACTGGATAACTCTATCAGTTCTAAATTTTTTTTCCTAGAGGTCCAGTAAGGATCATCTCTTATTAATCCAGTGTTACTACGGGAGGAAACCTAAACTAAACGAACTACATTCACATATATTTTATATTTTCACAAAGATTCAAAATGAGGTTATCTTTCCAGACGCCTTCTTCAGATGGGAGTTTACAACACAGAATTGTTTAATAATCTGGGATTATGTTGTTTCTACGCCCAACAATACGATATGGCCTTGAACTGCTTTGAACGAGCATTGAGTCTTTCAACAGACGAAAATATGGCTGATGTTTGGTACAACATTGGTCAAGTCGCATTGGTAATAAATGTAGCTATATATGTAGACAACTTTACAATTATGGAAAAACGCACAAGTTGTAACAAACCTGCAGCAGATTTGTAGCAATGCTGTTCCAACAACTTGTCAACAGGATGTGTTCGCACTGCTTGTTCCCAGCTTGTTGACAACTTGCTACAAGGTTCCAACAACTTGTTATCGTCCTGCAATTCAACAATTTGTCAACAAGTTGTGAGTGACAACCTTGTAGCAACTTGATAAAATAACAGCATTGTTACAACTTGTTGACAAGCATGCTGCAAGCCCGTTGCGAACACATTCCAAAAAATTGTGAAAATTTTACGGTCACTCTCTGTCTCTCTTAGCATTACAGTAAGGGAATTCTAACTCATAATTTTTTTCTATTTCTGTAGCGTATCGGTGATTTGGCATTGTCGTATCAATGTTTTCGTCTCGCGCTGGCGGCGGACAATAATCACGCAGAATCATATAACAATCTTGGTGTGCTGGAATTCAGGAAAGGAAATATCGACCAGGCAAGAGTCTTTTTCCAAACAGCGCAGAATTTGGCAGCGTTGATGTACGAACCGAATTTTAACTACGCGTTGTTGTCACAGAAAGTAAGTAAAGAATAATGTACCACCTTGGTTTCTTCCTGTAGTAAGACTGGATGAATAAGAGAAGATCCTTACTGGACCTCTAGGAAGAACAGTTTAGAACTGATAGAGCTATCCAGTATAAATAAAGTTAGTTTAGTTTAGGTTTCCTCCTGTAGTAACACTGGATCAATAAGAGACGATCCTTACTGGACCTCTAGGAAGAACATTTTAGAACTGATAGAGCTATCCAGTATAAATAAAGTTAGTTTAGTTTAGGTTTCCTCCTGTAGTAACACTGGATCAATAAGAGATGATCCTTACTGGATCTCTAGGACGAACAGTTTAGAACTGATAGAGCTATCCAGCATAAATAAAGTTAGAATTAGTAAAATTAAAGCATTATTTCTTGTTATTTGATAAAGGTTGGTGATCTTCAAAGCAGTTTTTCTGCAGTCAATAAATCTCTTGAAGCATTCCCGGAACATTGGGACAGTAAAGACCTACTGCGGCAACTCAGGGTGGAGTTAGCTGCCTTGTAAATAACTGATGTGCATGGGCTGAAGGATTCATTCAATTGTTTAAATTATTCAAATACGTATAGATAACTACTGTACGATATTTGTTGTAAATAAATTTACTTTATGCTTCAGACTGACTGTTCTGATAATGTAAGCATAGAATGGAACGAAGGTAAGTTAAAGAGTAAATTGATAACTCCATAAAAACTGTTTTGTTTTTGAGATTTTTATTACACATTTTCTCTGTTTTACAAAAATAAAGCCAAACACTAAACATTCTAAACTCATTTTATTTCTAAACTCAATTCTCATGCAATAACTGTCTATCTTTCAAAGCCAGCTCTGATAAACAGTACTAAACTAAATTCAACATTTGCATATCTTAAACCACACGCATTAAGCAAATATTATTAGACAGATTTAGATCGAGGACGCGGACGTCAAAGACGACGTGAAAATGGCGTGGCATATCCATACATGGGCACAACACGCCATTTTCACGTCCTCGATCTAAATCTGTCTATTTAGTATAAATGCTATCACCCATTCTACTTTTTAATTTTTAGCTGAAATACGCGTATCCGTGCATAGGAATGATCTACAGGGTGTCCCAAAAAAACTCCAAAACTATTGAAATAACATATTGTTAGAATTTGAATGCCTCAGCACTTTGCTGAACCCACAAGCGCATAAAAGCTTGCCATTATTAAATTTTATTTGCCGCAGATGTAAAATAAATCATGAAGGTTTTCAGGGTTGAATTCCTGGAAAGTCCTTGAATTGGAAAAACAAAATTCCAGGACTGGAAAATCAGTAGAAGTTCTTGAAAGTCCTGGAATTAATTTCCTTAACCTCCAGCTGTGCCAACATTCATGATTTTTATTAAAATTACTGAATAAAGTAAATTATTTACGACAAATCCGCGCCATTTTCAAACACTTTCCGGTTCTAGTTCCTCGAATTTACTGAAAAAGGGTCTTGAAAGTCCTGGAATTTCATCTTCACTACAGGGTGGACACCCTGGGTTTTACTTAATACTTCTATTAAGGCTTAAGCGGTACGTTAAATTAATGAGCAAGTATATTAATTCATATGTTGAGATGTTGGATGAAATTGAAAATCTTTAAAATAATTTGCCATGCATAAAGTTCAATTAAATTATGTGTATACACACTCGTGGCTTAGCGTGGTGTTCAGGCATTGAAATTATAACAATAGGCTAATTTCTAAAGGACTGCATGGCAATATTGTTATGGATTGTGGTTGGTGTTGTAAAAAGGGGCCATTTGTTTCCGTTGTCACTGGCTATTTTCGAAACTGTGTTGGGATGAATATACTGGCACAAAATGTTCTGATTTTGGAACTGGAAAATAATATCACAACGGAGTACTGTGCACGCTAACTATTCATTGTTGTTGTCGTTGTCGTCGTCGTCGTCGTCGTCGTTGTTGTTGCTTATTTTTTGACATACTTGCAGCGATGTCTTGCTGATTAGGACTATGTTTATTGTTGCATTTTAGGCTGTTGCTGTTGTCGCTATTGTTGCTGTCGTTGTTTTTCACCAGAGCAGATTCCTAAACAAATGTTTCTGCTCTGATTATCAGATACTATTTCAGCCCTGTACTAGCCTTGTGGCTATTTTTCTGTCGTCGTCGTCGTTGTTGTTGTTGTTGTTGTTGTTGTTGTTGTTGTTGTTGTTGTTGTTGTTGTTATTGTTGTGTCTGTTGTCAACTTGTCATTTTAAATCATTGCTGATTAATTGTGACTCGTTGATACTGTGTATTTGTGCTCCTACCGACATTTGACCGCACGGTTGCCCAATATTTCTCGTTTCAATTTTGCTTTTGTCCCGTCGTGTTTTGTAAGTTTTTTTTCATGTTGGTGTTTAAACATATTTGTTTGTCGCATTTCTGTTGTTGCTATTCTGCTGTTGTTGTTGCGATTGCTGTTATTGTAGCTTGCTGTTATTATTTTAATACTTTGTTGTTGCATTGCTGTTGTTTGCAATTTTGTTGTTGTTGTTGTTGTTGTTGTTGTTGCCGTTGCTACTATTATTGTAGACTGCTGTTATTACATTTTGTTGTTGCATTGCTGTTGTTGCTATTTTGTTGTTGTTGTTGTTGTTGTTGTTGTTGTTGTTGTTGTTGTTGCCGTTGCTACTGTTATTGTAGACTACTGTTATTACATTTTGTTGTTGCATTGCTGTTGTTGCTATTTTGTTGTTATTGTTGTTGCCGTTGCTACTGTTATTGTAGACTGCTGTTATTACATTTTGTTGTTGCATTGCTGTTGTTGCATTGCTGTTATTGCTATTTTGTTGTTGTTGTTGTTGTTGTTGTTGTTGTTGTTGTTGTTGTTGTTGCTGTTATTGCTATGTTGTTGTTGTTGTTGTTGTTGTTGTTGTTGTCATTGCTACTGTTATTCTAGCTTCTTGTTGTTGTTGTCGTAGCTTTTCTACTGATCGCACTGACTATTTATTAAAACTTGCTATTTCTGTTCAGTTGTTGATGTGGCTTGGCGGTTCTAAACCGATATCTTTTGAGATATGTCGTTTGAAATGTTTTTGTATTGTCTTGTTTTGTAAATGTTGTTTTCAACTTTTCCAAGACATGAATTGTCGATGTCTTTAAGAAATGTTGTACAGGAAGATATTTTCAACTCGCCATAGTAACTTCAAGTTACGATACTGTCGTTTTTGTTCATGTAATGGTACTGTAAAAAGTTCTTATCCCAAAGTTAACATTGATTTAGACGTCATCCAATATAAATGGTTGTTAGTTGTATTGTCGCAGTAGTATATGTTGTGTTAGAAATATGTTGTCGCTGTTCTTGTATCCGCAATGAAACGGCCTACCACAATGTTGACATTTCTACGATGTCCTGTGTAAAAGTTTGTTAGTGTTGTTGTTCAAGTATGTTGTGTTAGAAGCAACCCGTCAGTTGCTACGACTCGGGTCCGAGGGTTCGTCATACCCTAAAACCACTTGCATAATGGTTCCCCTGCGGTAGAGTGAAGAATAGTTCTGCAGCTTTGTCCGTTGGAAGGCATTAAAATGGTCGTCAGCTTCAGGTTCTTCAGAAACCGCAGTAATTGGAAACATCTGTTCGCAATATAGCATCCAATTTGGCTCGCAATATAGCATCCAGTTTTCATGTTTACCTGTGCGTATTCTCAGAATTAATGCTGGCTCACACTATCAAAGTTTGTGTGAGTTAGTTTCCTCAAACATTTCTTACAAATCCTTCAAAACATAGCAAACTATGCAAAATTCCTACTGTGATCACACAAACTTTGATAGTCCAGGCTTTATGGTCAGTCGAAAATGGCCAGTCGACTTTTAGAATGTGTTCTCATGCTCGTTATGTTTACTAACTCACTTTCCAACGACTAATTTTTATTCAACTGTATTTTTTTACTCTTTTAAGGAACAAAAGCATTCCTCGCCCAATTCAGACGTCTGCTTTCATATTCATATAAAAGTACGACCTAAGAGAGCGAATTAACGATTAACGAATACGCGCATGAAATATATTATGCAATTAATACTTTATGATTTTTAAGTTAAACGTATGACCAGCATACTCGGTAAAATACTTGCAATAAAATTATATATAATATAAAGGCGTTCTGGAACAAAAGCAACATGAAATAAAATGATCACAACAAAGTATTAACAATATTTTCTCACTCTGAGCAGGTTGACCACAAGCTGCTGCACGATAGTTTTTGGTGAAATTACTGATCCTCAAATATAGAGTTGAAATTCTGTTCCGTTGTAACAATTTCTGTTGGCTAACTTGGGAGCAGTGTTAGGTATTTCTTTCAATGTAGAGTTTTATCCAAACTTTTAGCAACGCTAAAAGTTTGGCGAAATAATATAGCTTGTTCTTAGTTTAAGATCTTTTGCTTCAGTCATAGAAACATTGTACATGACCAACTCAGTACAAAGATTCCATGGCGACCCTTCTAGTTCATGTTGCTTTGCGTCCCATTCGTGTTTCTACGTTTTCTCAATTTTCTACGTACGTAACGTGCTGTGTGTCTCCTCAGATTGTAAGCGGAGTGTCGCTATCTGATGTCAACTGCGAGTACAAACCTTTGGAATCACGACATGGTTTGAAACGCCGTAACCTAAACATATACAGAGGTTGGTTATAGCTCCAGTGAGAGCGATATGTTATTACAGGAGGAAACCTAAACTAACGTTATTTATATTGGATAGCTCTATCAGTTCTAAACTGTTCTTCCTAGAGGTCCAGTAAGAATCATCTCTTATTGATCCAGTGTTACCACAGGAGGAAACCTAAACTAAACTAACTTTATTTATACTGATAGCTCTATCAGTTCTAAACTGTTCTTCCTAGAGGTCCAGTAAGGATCATCTCTTATTGATCCAGTGTTACCACAGGAGGAAACCTAAACTAACTTTATTTATACTAGATATAGCTCTATCAGTTCTAAACTGTTCTTCCTAGAGGTCCAGTAAGAATCATCCCTTATTGATCCAGTGTTACTACAGGAGGAAACCTAAACTAAACTTCCTTTATTTATACTGGATAGCTCTATCAGTTCTAAACTGTTCTTCCTAGAGGTCCAGTAAAGATAATCCCTTATTGATCCAGTGTTCTAGTTGTTAGAGTCAAACTGGGAGTATACTCTTCTCACATGTGATTTTTGCAGGAATTGAACCTCGCTCAAAGAGGTGAAAAGCACATACACTAACTACCGTATCACTTAACTCCCCCCCTCTCCTCTTGGTTTAAAATCTACGCAGTCATCGCAACTACGTTCAATCCTTCACACCTCACCTTGCGTTGACGCATCCTTTTGAAATTCCCTCTGGAGGGGGTTTTGGTTGGTTCACTTCACGCCCAAGATCCTTTCCTTCCACATTTACTTCTCCTTGTCCTCTATCATCCTGCAATTCCCTTACATCACTTTCTGAGAACGATGCTCCACGTTTCATAGAAAAATTATCGTCATGTCGTGGCGATCTTGTCTCATGGAAGATCTCCTTATTATGTTTTTCAATATTGCCAACTGAGCTGTCGTCTACGCGGGGTTTCTCAGAATTGCCAGTGGAGTTGACATCTTCATTGAGGGAACTTTCAGGGAAAGATTTAGATGTATCACTACTGTTTAAACTTTTATCTTTGCTAAAAATGTTCAATTTGTCATCGCTGTTTGAGCTATCTAACCCTTGCAGATTTCCTACGTCTACTACAGCCACTCTTTCTGTGTCTTTGATTTGATCTTCATGCTCCTCGAACGACGTTTCTTTATCTTGGGTCACAACAATATCAGGAACATCCAGTGTTCCCTCTTGTATATCAAGTGTCCCCTTTTGTATATCAAGTGTCCCTTCGTGTACATCAAGTGTCCCCTCATGTACATCAAGTGTCCCCTCGTGTACATCAAGTGTCCCCTCGTGTACATCGAGTGCCGCCTCATGTATATCATTACTCATATATTTCCCTAATTCTAAATTATCCACAATTTCATTCTGCTTTGATTGCTCATCTACTTTCCCCCGAGATGAACTGCAACGTTCAGACACTTGGTTGATTTCTTCAGGTGCTTTACTTTCATTGTCATTAATGCTTGTATTAATTATTTCATTTTGACCATGGTCCAGCCACGTATCATCTTCAATTCCTTGCCCATCACACTCATTATGTTCTAATATAAATAATTGTCTATTATCTGCCAGCTGATCGCTCATTCCTTCACTAGAGGTTTGTTTATTAAAAAGTATGTTTTCATTTACTACATTCTCCTGTTTTGATTCTAATTTGAGTTCAGCACGTGCTATTTCTGGGTGTGTCAAATCTGCATTCTCTATTACGACATTCTCTTGTCTTGATTCCACGTGAACACTAGTTACATCTTGCCCAACCTCTGCCTCTGTTAGGCTTGCAATAGCTGCTGGTTCTTGTAATTGTTCATTTTCTTTGTTCGTCTTCTCATCGTGCCGTTGTTGTTGTTGTTGTTGTTGTTGTTGTTGTTGTTGTTGTTGTTGTTGTTGTTCATCCTGCAGTTGTTCCGGTGTTTGTTGTTGTTCTCTTGGTTGTACTTTATGTTGATATTCCACATGTTCTTGATGTTGATCTTCTAACCCCACTGAAGCTGTTTCTCGTTCTAAAACATCAAAGGAACTTTGCTGCAACTCTTTTGTAGTATTTTCATCCGTGGTCTTCTCTCCTTGTTGTTGTTGTTGATCCTGAAGTTGTTCTTGTGTTTCGTGTTGTTGTTGTTGTTGTTGTTGTTGTTGTTGCTGTTGTGCTTCTTTTTCCATTTCCTGTTGAGCAAGCATTTGTTGCCCATCTTTCATGGCTTCCTGACCTTTATCATATTTCTCTCGTATCAAAGCAGGCTGCAAACTGGGTAAGATCAATCCCTCCCTCATACTCAGTTCCTTCTTCAACTTTGAAACAAAACTCACATTTGTCTTCACAATTCCCTCGCTCTCCTTGATCACCGGAGCTTGACCGTAGGCGGACGAAATATTTGATATGGCAAGCTTCTCTAACTGGTCGCCAGCGTCATCAGAAGACGAACGCGATTCCTCCCAATCTGGACCTACCCCAGCCAGGCTGTCCCTACTCGCGACTCGTACACCAATCGTACATTCTCGGAGTGCCGGCGATGTATCTCCGGAAGAGGTCGTAGTCATCAGAAACTCGGGTGTTAAGGCATTCTGAGAGCCATTGCCGTCTGTTGGTAGTTTATTTGATAATGGTAAAAACTTTGGCTCTTGGATAGCTCGCCCTTCCTCAGCTGAATTTGCTTCTTCAACTTTTTCCAAGATGTCCTTCAGAGAAATATTTTCAAGAGGATACATATAATCACTTTCCATCAAGATTCTATCATCCGGGGTGACTGTATTATCATAGGAACTCAATCGGCGCTGTCTACCAGCTATTTCATCATTACAAGACTTCACTGTAACACCATCAATCACAAAAACACTATCAAAATTCTCGGCACTGTGGTCACCATCGCCAACATAGTACTTCACTCGATAACCACCATCACCTATTGCTGTCTCATGGTATATGACGTCATCACCATCATCATCACCATGGTATAAAACGTGATCACCATCAACACCATCGTCATGGTAGATTTGATCACCATTAATACCATCACCATTATCATCAGCACTCATTCCTAGATCTTGAGGTGCATCTTCCTCCTCTTCGTTCCCTCCCCCTCCGTCTTGAGCGGGAGGACTATCAACAGTATCATAGTAATCCATCATACGCAGGGGGGTGCCGTACCCTGGATCATATGATGTGTAACGATGCGCATCAACTTCCACTTCGTTTCCACGATCTTCCTTCATGACCACCACGCCTAAAATTCCCTCTCCTTCAGTATCGTATAAATCTGACAGCTTTGGAATGGCGAACATACCAGGGTTGTAATTCTGTGGTTCTTCAGTGCAACCCCATGGTGCTAATGGTACGGAGTTAAAATCATACGACACAAGCAATCCTTGATGTGAGATGTGCACATCACTTTCACAAGGTCCAACTTCCTCACAATCTTTAAATAGCTGTTCTTTTACAGTGTACAGCCCTGAAAGTCTGCCTTCGTTTATAAAAACATCATCAGAATCGTGATGGTCATCATCCTTAACAGGTCGATCTTGCGTTGGAACATTGAATGAATAACGCGGGCTGGTGATCTCATGTCGATGAAACAAGGCCATTTCTTCAGTGTAAACGACCAATTCTTCAACCAATGTGCAAGGTTTCAAGTTATCGTCATTTGATAAAGGTGGTACAGAATTAACAATATTCACAGGGCATTCAGGACAGTCCTTCATGTCCTTTGTGCTCGTTTCTTCACCTTGCGATGTTACTCGTATCTCCACGCATTCCTCTTGGTTTCGTGTTGACGTGAATTCGTTCGACTCGGCATGTGTCAGATGGACATGTTCGGCACTGTGCACCGCAACAGCTTCTATCACTTCCTTCGTTGTCGCTCCGCTGTTGCCATGACCGTTGGAATTCTAGAAATGTAACACTGATATGTTAGAACAAGACCCTCTATGAAACGCACCAATACATAACGTGTTATGTATTGTACCAGAGGCAAATCCACTGTGGCAGTTCACACTCCACCTAATGGTGACAAGCACCCCCCCCCCCCCCCCAT